CACTGATTAAACTACGCCCCACTGCTTATCATATGCATTCCCCAATGCAATTGGCCTTGGGCTTTGAGCCCGATATTTCGCACCTTCGCACATTTGGTTGTGCTTTGCAAGTGCCAATTCCTCCTCCTCAGAGGACTAAAATGGGTCCCCAACGCCGACTTGGCATATACGTTGGGTTTGATTCATCGTCAATTATTAGGTTCTTGGAACCAATGACGGGTGATTTATTTACCGCTAGATTTGCGGATTTTCACTTTGATGAGACATTATTTATATCGATTGGTAAGGATATTCAGAATATCCGTGATAATGATAAACGAAAACCAATCGAGAATCTCACATGGTGTGAGCAACGGTTATCTCATCTCGACCCACGTACCCCTGAATGTGAAAATGAAATGCATAGAATCATTCATTTACAAAATATTGCCAATAGACTTCCTGATGCATTTAATGATGCCAGTAAAGTCACGAAGTCTTGTATTCCAGTTGTGAATGTTCAGCTAGGATCGATGTTCCTGAAAAACATGCGAAAATAAATGATGATCCCTCACGACAAAAACGGGGTAGACCTATTGGATCAAAGGACGTTGTTCCTATAAAAAGAAAGGAAAAAATCAATGAACCCTCAAATGAGGCGATTCCTAGTGAGAATGCTCAAGATGAATCTGTTGAGCCTGATATCAAAAAGGCGATACCAAATCCTGGGAATACCGAGAATCCCATAAGTTATTGCAATGAAATATGGGATATAAATGAGATAATCATCTCTAATATTTTTGCATTCTCGATTGCACACGAAATTATGTACGATGATTATTATAGTGAACCGCATTCCATAATGGAATGCCGCCAAAGAAATGATTGGCCTAAGTGGGAGGAAACAATAAAATCTGAATTGACTTCCTTAGAAAAACGGAAAGTATTCGGGCAAATTGTTCAAACTCCGGATAATGTAAAACCCGTTGGGTATAAATGGGTATTTGTCCGTAAGAGGAATGAGAACAACGAAATTGTACGATATAAAGCCCGCTTTGTTGGTCAAGGCTTCTCCCAGCGACCTGGGAATGATTACGATGAGACTTATTCACCAGTGATGAATATGATCACTTTTCGTTTTCTTATCAATATGGTCGTCCAAGAGGGACTGGACCTGCGTCTAATGGACGTTGTAACGGCCTATCTATACGGTTCACTAGATTCTGATATTTATATGAAAATTCCCGATGGATTTAAAATGCCAAACTCTGGCAACTGGCGCTCCTCGTGAGCTGCACTCAATCAAATTAGAAAGATCATTGTATGGTCTTAAGCAATCCGGTCGCATGTGGTATCATAGAGTGAATAACTTATCAGAGAAGGTTATAAAAACGATCCCATTTACCCATGCGTTTTTATTAAAAGATCAGAAACCGGATTTGCTATTATTGCGGTTTATGTAGATGACATGAACCTCATTGGCACTCCTGAAGAGTTGGCCAATGCTGCTGAATATTTAAAGAAAGAGTTTGAGGTCAAGGACCTTGGAAAAACCAAACTCTGTATTGGTATTGAGCTTGAGCATAAAAGTAACGGCATACTTATACACCAATCTGCATATACTAAACGATTGCTCAGAAAGTTTAATATGGAAAATTCTAATTCATTGAGCACCCCTATGGTTGTGCGCAATTTAGATCCTTAAAATGATCACGTTCCGACCTAAAGCATTTGATGAAAAGATACTTGGTCCTGAAGTGCCGTATCTCAATGATATCGGAGCATTAATATATCTAGCACAATGCACTCAACCGGATATCGCTTTTGCGGTAAATGTGCTTGCGCGATCCACTTCTGAGCCTACACGGACACTGGAATGGTGTTAAACATATTTTTCAATATCTCCGTGGTACTGTAGATTTGGGGTTATTTTTTTCGAAGAATGCAACTAACCAAGGGTTAGATGGTTGTGCCGATGCGGGATATAGATGTGATCCGCACAAAGCTCGCTCACAAACTGGATATTTGTTTTGTTATAATGGTGCAGGTATATCTTGGCGATCTACCAAACAGACATTGGTGGCCACCTCCTCAAATCATTCTGAAATAATAGCTCTTTATGAGGCGGGCAGAGAATGTGTTTGGCTACGATCCGTTATTTCGCATATACAAAACTCCTGCCAATTACATCCAGTTACAGACACGCCCACAATCATTTACGAAGACAATGCTGCCTGCATAGCACATACAAGATGCAGATACATAAAAGGTGATAGGACCAAACATATATTACCAAAGTTCTTCCATACACATGAGCTTCAGAAGAATGCCGAGATTGATGTCCAACAAATTCGCTCATGTGAAAATCTTGCTGTTTGTTTATAAAAGCCTTACCGACTTCTACATTTGAGAAATTGGTGTTCGGCATTGGAATGAGAAGAGCCAATATGAAGCAAGATTGACGACCCATTTTTGAAGCTATATTGCTCATTTCAGGGGGAGTAATTAGGGGTGTGCGCGGGCCATAAACCCGCGGGTTCTATCAAAACCCGCCCTCGTCCCGTCAAACAACGGTTCTTGATTTTGAAGATCCAAACTTGTGGGTTTTCAAGGGGTTTACGATAGGCGGGTCCATGGCGGGTTTGTAGTAGGACCCAACCTTTACGGATCGAAACCCGTTATCGTCTAAACTATTTTTTTTTATATATAATTTATAAGTTTTACGGGAGAATAATTAGAAACTAAAATGAATAACCTAAAATTTTAAATTGAAACCAAACATAAATAATGTAAATGTCAAGAGTAAATAAAAATTAATATAAAAACTAAAAATAACTAATTCATAACTTAAAAGACAAAATTTAAATAAAATAAATATAGTTTTTTCAAGCATAACCAACGCTATTCAGTTCCATTCAACACCAATTTCTTCCTTTTTTTTCTGTCGTGTGTTGACCGTTGTATATATATGTTTTTTTTCCTACATTTTCTTAGAGATTTTCATAATCTTTATAGCTATTACTGCCACAATTATAGAGTAGTTGATTTATGTATTTGATACACTAGAGATGCTTAATTTATTCATTAATATTATTAATTTATTATACTATATAATTTAAACAAAACGACGTCGTTTTGTATGGCGGGGCGGGACGGGTTTCACGGGTATTAAAAAAAATTGAACCCGTCTAAGACCCAAACCCACGGTTCTTCACCATTTTAGGACCCAATCCTATGGATGGATCCATCCGTCCGGTTCTAACGGGGCGGTTTTTCACGGGTTTGACGGGTGTAGCGGGTTGATGGGTCCGACTTGCTCACCCCTAGGAGTAATGGTGCGGTGCACTCTTTTTCCCTTATGACTGGTTTTGTCCCATTGGGTTTTCCAGCAAATGTTTTTAACGAGGCAGCTTATGCACACAATTTGGATTGCGTTATGTACTCTTTTTTTCCTTTTAACCGGTTTTGTCTCACTGAGTTTTCCGACTCGAGGTTTTTAACGAGGCATATAAATTTTCACTCATCCAATTTTCTTTCGTCCAAGGATGAGTATTATAATATAAATTATTCATATCTACTTTGTGGACTTAAAATTATATATCTTGTAGTCTAAGCAAAGTTATACATATCCTTATACGTGTCATTTATTGTAATAACGATAGTCATTGCATGGAAAAACTTGTAAACTTTGGCCCCGTTTGATTGGCAATATAAGATTTGCCAAGATAAGATTAAATAATCTAATGAGACCCAATTATTTTATTGGAGCTTGAAACGTCAAAAAAAAAAGACTCATTATAAGCCAAGATAAGGCAAGATATGTCATGATTATATAATTTTGGCCGGTGTACCTGGCAATTTATTGAGGATACCAAACATCAAATTAAGTCCAAGTATTTACTTAATCGTGACTTATCTTGCCAGCCTAACGGGGCCTTTGTGTATATATATATCCGCAACATATGAATGAAAAATGTACTGATTCCTTCTGCCAAATTATCCACTCTCTTTTCTACTGTATTACCAAGTTTGATATTCTGAAAATTCATAGCATACACACTAATCAATTATCACAGTCTTTCATTATATAATTTATTCTATAACACTCCTCTTATTTATACTATATTATTTAATTAGAACTATTTAAATACAAATTTAATTCAGCATTAACTGCTAAAAAACTTCGAAAGTAATATAGATATTATATAATCCAAATAATAATATTAATTGTTTTTTTTTAAAGAAGAATAATAATAAGGGGAAATATGCAATCCCCCCCTAGAATGGAAAATATTATGTAAAAAACTCATTTGACTTTTAAGACTTTTGCTCACACCCATATCTAAATCTTAATTAGTGAGACCCCCTTATTAAGATAGGATAAGACACAATTACCCTTAACAGCAGTTATTAAAATAAATCAAATATTTAATAATGATAAATTAAGATAACCGTTTCCTTTTTTGTAGAGGGACGTGATATCCTCAACATAATCTTCACCCGATTTTCAGCGTGATTTCAGCGGACACAATCAAATATATTTGGGGGGCGAGATCGAAGTGCATAGTCGTCACTCTGTATTCTGTTTTGTGCTTTGTGTTGAAGAAACGTTTCGTGGAAAAAGGTGAGTGATGAATTAAGTGTTTTATTTGCAATTAAGATAATGATATTGATGTTTTTGATTCGCAATTTTTTTATGTTTTTTTGTTCCGATCCGATTGATATGGGTTTGTCGTGTGTATGTTGTATTTGATTTCTGCGTTATACCGATTTACAGAGTAGTCACATTGCATATGTCGTATCTGATTGTAGTTTATATTGATTTACAGAGTATTCACAATGCTCTGTATGCAGTGATTACATATTTTGTTTTGTTGCGTTATTGTGTTTGTTTACAGTAATTTCTGAGATTTTTTAGTTTTATATAATTGAATCAAGAGTAGTCTTATTTTTAGGCAGTTGTGATGATATTATAGGTTTGAGCAGTCATATTCGCCATTTTTTTTTCAGTGGTGCACAGTATGTCGTCCAGCATGATGGTTGTTTTGAAGTACGGAGGGTCGTTCGGGGTGAAGATATGCCGAGCTGATTTTGTGTATGAAGACCTTATTGGATTTGTGACAGAGAAGTGGTGCAGCTTGAATGCGAGGGATGTTACGATGACATACAATGTTGATGGTTATGGCGAGGGCATGCTCGGTGACAATGATGAGGTAATGTATATGAAATCGTTGGTTCGACAACTAGGTCTTGACCGTGTTGAGATAACTGTGAAGCGCAAGGACAACGTTAATGCAGTAGTGTTGGCGAGGGTTCCACAATCAGCATCACTCAATTCGATGGGTAATTATCTGAATAACGACATGTGTGTTCGTCCGAATTCGTTGACATTTGATAACACACAGTTATTGAGTACCAATTGGAGAAATCTTATTAGGGAAGTAGGGCAAGGATTTCGGAACGGGGCTGTTGATTTCCGGGATGCATTGCGGAAATACGCTGTTGAAGTTGGGTTTGAATTTAACTATGTGAAGAATGAACCTACAAGGATTACGGCAGAGTGCAAATACAGGGTGATGAAGAAGTGTATGTGGAGGATTCATGCCTCGCTACAAAAGGCAAACGGATTCTTTTATATTAGGACTTTTGAAAAACATCATACGTGCGGAGCTTCATTTGGTTCATCGAGCAAAAATAGGTTGACGTCTGATTTAATTTCTGGTCTGATCATGAATGCAGTTAGAATCAAACCTGAAATGGCCCCGAATGATGTCGTGCTCAACGTCAAATTGTACTATGGCATTGACATCAGTTATTTTGTTGCTTGGAAGGCACTTGCTGCGGGGAAGCATCATGTGTTTGGTGACGCTACGACTTCGTACTCGTACTTGCCCTTGTATTTTGAAGAGCTTGGGCGTAGCAATCCGGGCAGCGTGTACCATCTTGATGTCGATCCAGTATCAATGAAGTTTAGGAGGTGTTTTTTTGCTTTTGAAGGGAGTTTGTCAGGGTTTAAGGCATGTCGACCTATGCTGGCTCTTGATGGGACCTTTTTGTCTGGAAAACACAGGGGAATCCATCTAAGTGCGTTGGGGAAAGACAGTGAAAACGGTACAACCCATTGTTTTTTTTAACATGACTATATATGACTACAGTACTAATTGTATGTTTCCAATTGCGCAGGTTTGTTTCCAGTAGCTTTTGGAATAGTGAACGAGGAGACTGACGACAACTGGGCGTATTTTCTACGACATTTAAAAACTGCTATTGGAACAGATCGCGTGCTCACATTCTTATCAGATCGTAACCATGGAATTTTGCGCGGTGTGAAGGAAATATTCCCTGATTGTGGACACATATTTTGCCTTGTCCACCTGCAGAACAACCTATTGCACAAGTGTAGAGGCTGCCCGACTAATTTTCGAGAGGGTATTGTTGCTAAATTCAATGCATGTGCGTATGCACCGACGAAGACTGAGTTCCATCAGAAATTGAATGAGTTGAAAGAATATGGAGGCGCAAGGGTAGATAATTTCATTGCTGACTTACCCTTTGTTAACTGGACATGTTCGTATTTTGTCGGAGATCGGCATAATGAGATGACCTCAAATGCTGCTGAGTCGTGGAACTCGAAGATCAAGGGTGCTCGCGATTTGCCTATCACAAATTTTATCGATTATATCAGGGGTGAAGTCATGATAAATATTAGCATTAGGGCTGAGGAAGGGGTGACGATGACGACGGAGCTTAGCTCCAAAGTTCATGAGCAGGTGGATCAGTTGGTTCAAGAAGGTAGAGTTTGGGTAGCGAGGAAGTCGTCGGATCATATGTTTGAGGTTCTATGCGACCCAACTGCTGTTGTTGATATAAAAGAAAGGGTGTGTTCGTGTAGGATGTGGCAAATCACTGGATTGCCTTGTGCTCATGCTGCTTGTGTGTTGTTCAATAACACTAATGAGGGCTATAAATACGTTGACAAATATTATCGCACCGAGTCATACCGGGAGACTTACTCGCACCCTGTTGTGCCGTTTGTGCAGCCTACGATTGACAATAATATGCCGATTGTGGGCCCCCCTGACCACCACGTTCGTAGAGGGAGGCCTAAGTCAAAAAGAATACCATCGAAGGGAGAGAAGATCAAACGGAAGATCAAGTGCAGTCGGTGCAACCGAATTGGATACCACAACAAGAAGACGTGTTCGATGGCCATTATAGGGGGTTGATGATTGTTTTTTTCAGTTTTTAATTGTTTTTAAGGATTAAGTGTGTTTTTTTTCTTTATGGATAAATTTTATTTCAGTGTTTTAGTTTTTTACATCACAAGACATATGTAGTTATTTTAATGCGACTTTAATTTGATAAGTGTTTTTTTTTCTGAATTTTTTGATTGTTTTATCTCCACATTTGTTTTCATTATAAATGTTTGCAAACTGTTTACAGCGCTAGCTACTTGTAGTCATCTTCGGTAGTCACATTATTCAGCCATAGTCACATACCAGTCATACTGCTTCTGTGTTGTTCAGTGTACTGCTTTGCTCACCGTTGTCATATTCAAAACAGTTAGTATAGTAGTCACATTCGTGCTGGTGTGTTTTTAAGCAGGAATGTGGGTATGTAAAGTAAATTTCCTTATAATGTATGTTGTTTCACACCTGTAGTTCTACTGATTTACAAGCATAGTCATGTAGTAGTCATATGCTTAACGGTATCCTAATAATCGTGATACATTATGCTAATGCCACTGTTATGCACACTGCTAGTCATATTTCTCACTGTGAGGTTATGTGTAAATAATTATTTGTCTAAACAATAATAAAATGTCAATTCAATAGCATCAAAAGTTAACATTCAGGTCTGTTTAATAATGTCTTGAAAGCAATACCAAATTCAAATGAAAAAAAAATACCAAAGTGTGTTCTGGACAACATACAAGTCAGCATAACAGAAATGAGATGAAATCCTAGAAGAGTAAAATACAATAGAATAGCATGTTAGAGTTTGCAGTGTAAAAATGCTTCCACAATTGTCCTGCGCATATCTACGACACCTTCTTCCGCCTCTTCTATAATCATTTGCTGCTGCAGGAATGCCTCTTGGATGATGTACAAGACGATAATGCCACAATCGTTTGTGGCAGGCTTTTGCTGAGGCGAGTCAGCAACTGCATACAATGGCGCATTCTGTGGAATTGCGGATATATTCAAGGCAGTTGCATTGAATTCGACAAGTTTTTTCTGTATGTTGGAATACATGTCAATGTATATATATGGAATAGTGGTAACGGGGAAAAACAAACAAATAAACGACATACCATATCAGAGCCATCTTTGAGGTACTTGTCTGTTATTCCATCACGTGGGCGTAAAGAGTTATAGAATCGCCATTCTTTTAGTTGACAATCCAATATTAAAACTGTCCAGTGGTCAGCACGAGTACCAGGGTTGCCAACTGACAGCAACGGAAATATTAAGTATCTGTGCATGCCGACGTCTGCGGGTATGTCAAAAGTTTTGTCGTTTGTATGACGTGACATGGTCAGCAATAAAACGTAGTAAGTTATGTTTATATTTTTAAAACATGAAAATAGAGGGGAAGTTAAAATATGCACCAGCAGTAGGCTGTTAAACACAAATGTTGAGCCGGCAAGTTCATTTCCTTCGGCAGGTGTGTAACATCCGATCTGTTGTTGGTGCATGAGTATTTTGCAGTAACCATCTATGACCTGGAAGTTTTATGTGACTATTATAATATTGAATGTGACTGTTCAATACAAAGTACTGTATAAAGTAATATATATATATATATATATATATATAAGAGAAGTTTGTAAAAACTTTACGTTGTTCGATGTCTGTTCGAGCCTGAGCAAGTGGAATATGTCAGATATCAGTATATGTGTAGTACCATGTTTCCATATTGATTTGCTGCAATAAGTCAATACGAGGTAGATGGTTAGAGTGCACAAAATATACACTACATAAACAGAGTGCAAAAAAGAAAAAAAAAAATAATGGATCAATGGCTTACTCGCCGTTCAATAGTTCATCCGCCAGCGCATTAATCCTTTTTTTGTCACTATCACTCATTTCAGTATACGTCATCTCGTGTTTGTGCCTCAGATCGCGGCACGCCTTTTTTGTGCTGCGAGGAGTTACAGTCGGCTTTTTGGATCTTGTACGGTTCCCTATAGCAGATTTTGGATTCTTCGGGGTTTATTCCTCACATATCTCGAAGTCTATGTTTGGAACTGCTATGAGTGGTGGGCGGTTGTCAAGTGCACTGGAATATTGATCAATTATAGCCTCGAGTTCTGAGATTTTTTCATCTCTTGCTTTGATGGTTGCCATATGTCCCTTCTCTGCTGCCTTGAGTATTGTGTTATCAGCTTCTAGGAATAATATTTGAGCGTCGGACTCACTCAAATTCGTCAATTGCACATCTTCCATCAGCAATGAATGGGATTCTTCGCAGGCGGGATTGACTAATATTCTGGATGGGTGGTGTGCAGATTGAACTGGGGTCGTATTTGCTAGCTTTTGGACAAGCGTTTTGTTTGCTGCTTCGAGCTCCGCCAAACGCACATGTAGCTCAATGTTTTGTGCGTGTGAATCGTCAAGATCCTTATTTTTCTGGGCAATCGACGTTTGCGTTGGTGTCAGTATTTCAAACGATGGCAAATTGTTGTTTCCAAGATCCCGTTCCTCTTCAAGTTTTGCAAGTTTGTCTTGGAGTGCTCTTTTTTCATCAAGCAGCACTTGAGCCGTGTTACCTAGTAACGTCATCCTCACCTGGACTTCCTCAAGTTGTTGGATCTCTGCTGCCATGCGTGAGTTTTCTATTTTCAAGGAAGTCAGTTCAGAGTTTTGCACATTGATATGCTTCATGGCATCTGCTAACTTCAGGTTCGCTTCGTCTACTTGCTTTGCTAGTATTATGACATGTTTTGTCTTCTCCTGACTGCTTGGTGAAGGTATAGCATTGAGTCTGCGATTTCAAAAGACTAACCGATCAACGATTGTGACTATGTAATATGACTACAACAAAAAAAATATATACTTATGAAGGAGTCAACACAATATGACTATACATATTGCAATAGTCACGTGAAATTATAATACAGAGCAAATTGACAGCATTGAAAATGAATGTTATTTTGAAATGCATCTCTGATAATGGGGGGATCTATGTGATGATGTAACATGACTGTATATGACAGTTTAAATGTACCTGTCCACATGCGACCGCAATGTTTTTTTCTGTGACTCGAGTCTTGTGATTGTACCCCTCAGTACATCTGCTTCATTCATGAGCTGTGTAACCTGACGTTGGAGGGATGATTCACGAGAATGGCATGCCACGATTTCATTTTTCAGTTTATCTACATCGTGTTGCATATCTCTGTAATGTTGCTTCAGCCATACGGCAATAGGGACATCTATGTCAACAGTAGGGTCGTCATCTGTTTCACTATCAGCAACAATCCTTTCATTGATTTTCGTGTCATTGTGCGCGAATGGATCAGTGATGTTGTCACCTTTGGTGCTCATCTGGTTGGCGATTTCGTGAAGTGCAGAAGAAGCCATTGCTTCTCTTTCTTCGCTGTCTGTACTGTCGTCATCTGTATCTTTGCCTTCATTTTCACTGCTCTCTTCCATGGCTAAATGCCCGGTTAGGATTTGAGTTTCTGTATGTGTTGGCACCAAAGGTTGGTCATTGACATCATCGGGTTGAATGTCTCTTATGGCTGTAGTTGATATAACATTAGCCAGCTCCTGTATCACCCAACGGCGGAATCGAGGGAATGCATTTTCTGTGACAGGCTGAACAAGTTTGGTTCGCTCACATATGAAATACTGCATTTTAAAATAAGAACAGGAATAATCAGTTTGTGTATTTAGTAAATGATGTGGGTGTAACATTTGATGAAAGATTGAAGTATGAGATTCTTACCAGTATTAGTGGAATACAACCCTTTGTTTTGTCTAGTTCCTTTGCAACATGTATTTGATGCTGCAAGAACTCTGTTATACCCATCGGCCAGTTATACGCCATCGTTTGATCAATGTCTCGCACGTACTTGAACATCCACCATGCAACTATTTCAGCAGATGTGTTGAAGAAAACCGTAGACATGAGGTGCAAAATGATAAGCCGGATTGCATCCTCAACGTCGACTAAAGAATCGCTCTGCAAGCACTCAAGCAGCTTCACTTTTAAATCTGTTTGATAACACACACTATCTTCTGCGAATCGTCGTAAAGCCAGGCCGTCTCTTGGTCTAAATGATTTTGTAACATCAATCCTGCGAATTCCGATGGGGATACCAAATATAAGTTGGCAATCATTGGGTGTGATTCGGAGCGACTTCCCACCAAGTGAGTATGTACGTGTTGCTTTGTCGTATGTCCACAGGATCGTTAGGGATGTAATACGAGACCCGATAACACTATCTTTTGTGATCTTGTGCTTTGCGAATGGGAGTACGAAGTTGTAGAAGGGTGTACGCCGTAAGCATTCGTAATGTGCTGGTGCAAGTGTTACATCCTCAAAGAATGAAACAACTGACTTCAAGCTCCCTCTGTATTGTGAGGTCCACGTACCATGGTCAAGCACTTGACGTGCCATGTTTCGCGTTTCATCTGAAAAAATCAATTTTCTGTATGTTACACACATATGCAACCATAAATAAGTCATTCTACCAATATGACTACAGAAGGTTACTACATCAATACACCAATTCAATTACGGGTTTTCATTATATGCTTAAACACAGGGCTACAACATGACTCCATATGAATAAACCACAACATCTATTGTTGGCAATTAATACATCAACGCATACCCCAAACATGACTGCTGCCCCAAAAATCTGTGTGTACAAAAGTAAATCCCATATGAAACAACAAAATTGATCTAATCTGGATCTATGATCACACATGCAGACATTATACCAATATGACTACAGAAAATGACTATAACAATACACTACTTTAGTTTCAAATTTTTTATCACACTCAAATCAGAGCATGTTTCTGCTGCAAATGTTTAGAAGTGAACATTATTAACATTGGTATACAACTAATGACATCAACAGGCAGACATATACCATATATTATATCAACATGACTACATAAAATGACTATAACAATACACTAATTTAGTTACAAATTTTTTTAACATACTCAAATCATAGCATGTGTTCTGCTGCAAATGTTTAGATAACATTTTTAACATTGGTATACAACTAATTATATCAACATGTAGACATATACCATACATTATGTCAACATGACTACAAAAAAAGACTATAACGATACACTAATTTAGTTTCAAATTTTTTTAACATACTCAAATCAGAGCACATTTCTCTTGCAAATGTTTAGAAGTCAGAACATTTTTAACATTGGTATACAAACTATTTACATCAACATGCAGACATATACCATACATTATATCAACATGACTACATAAAACGACTACAATTATACACTAATTTAGTTTCAAATTTTTTTAACATACTCAAATCAGAGCATGCTTCTGCTGCAAATGTTTAGAAGTCACAACATTTTTAACATTGGTATACAACTAATTACATCAACATGCAGACATATACCGTACATTATATCAACATGACTACATAAAACGACTACAAGTATACACTAATTTAGTTTTAAATTTTTTTAACATACTCAAATCAGAGCATATTTCTGCTGAAACGTTTAGAAGTCACAATATTTTTAACATTGGTTAAATTGCAGTTTGGGCATACATACAGAACACTTTTCAATGAAATCCGAACAACCATAGATTCAATGTGTGTGTAGTACAGTAACATATAGTCATGAGGCAACCATAAATCATCCCAAGAAACCCTTAAAGTGAAATTAAATTGGATATACGGGCACAAATAATATACTTTTTGCGATTTATGGTACAAAAAATTGATCGGCAAAAAACAAAGGATTTAGGTATACAAACTAACCGGCATCAAGATTCATAACGTCCTCAGGAGTGGGTCTTCGTTTACGCTTCTGTGCCGACTTCTTCCTCATTTCAAAAAGCAGAATCGAATGTGACTATCGCAACTGAAATTTACGGGATTTTGACTACCGAAACACCACTAAAATAAAATACGACTGTGAATGGGGGAGGTGGGTTGACGAGTTTGTATCAACAATCTTTGATTTTGGAATGTGACTACAGATTCGCTGCTAGTATTTTGAATTTTTGCCAGTTTTTGATTTGGGGGAAAAATCCCAATATGTGGGTCTCCTTCTTCACGATGATACGGTTTAATTTTTTTTCTTCTTTATAAATGTTTAATTAAGAGCAGTTTATTAGAGAAACTAAATAATTAAGCATAAATAGCGGGATTAGGTCCCTTATTAATAGGGATTTTGAAAATAATATATAAAATAAAAAATAATCGTGAATGCTAGTAGAGGGGTAAGATGGGAATTAAATATTTTAGGGGGTTTTCACAAAGGAAGATTTAATGTATGGACTTATCACTAGTTTTTATCTATAAGAGGGGTGTATTGCTAATGACCCCTAATAATAATCATCTATCTATCAAACATTAAAATTAGTGGGGACTGAGCACCATCGCCCTCGTGGCCTTATGCCGACTTGTCTACCAACCCAAATGTCCTTCCTTTATGATCACAGAACATTCTTTTATAACTATCGGTTATCAATTTGTGTTATATTTTAATTTAAATTAAATAATTATTTCAAAACAAAATAAGAAAATAAATAAATTTTTTGAAATGTTAAACTTCGTTTTAAATTTAATAATACTGTTTTGATTTCGAACGTAATTTTGTCCACTTTCTAGTATGATTTTCGTAAATTTCAGAATACGAAAATCGTAGTCCTTTGATATGTGTTTCGAACACAATTTGAATCAACTAGATCGGATGTATGATGACAACGTTATGCATCAACGAGTCACATTTCCAATTTTAGATAACTCAAAATATCAAAATTATGACCAATTTTCAACCAAACATCCAATCTTGGTGATTGAAGTTATATTAGAAAGCTAACTCAAAGAACTATAAATCCCGTATTCTGAGTTTTGCATAATTCAACATCGAAAATGATCAAAATTACTTTCAAAGTTGAAACAGTATTATTAAAACTGAAACGACATTTATCGCATCCCAAATTTTACCACTATTCTATTTTTCACTCAATTACTTCTTCATCATTATTGACAAAGTCAAAAAAAAAAAAAAAAGGAATAAAAAAATATTTGAAAGCCAATGATAAACCCCATACAAAATTTAACCCCCAAACCCCCAAAAAGTCATACCCCCTTTGCCCCCCCTTCCTTCTAGGTTTCCTCTCTCCTGGAACTCATCAACTATTTTATCCTTTCTCCACAACCCCTTTCTTTATATAATCTCTTCATCTTTCATCCCTTCCTCATTATTTATTTGATTCATTTCTATATTTCTATAATCGTATCGCAAAATTAAGTCAGCCGAACGGTTGATTTCTCAAAAACCTGCAAAAATGGCGTCTTCATCGGCGAACTTGTGGGTTTTGCTTGGCCTTGGGATAGCGGGGATATTGTTTATGACGAAGAAGCTGAAGCGCGCAGTGAAGGCTGATTTCGGAGCTTTTATGGAGCGGTTGCAGCTTTTGCCGCCGCCGCAGCCTGCCCCTCCCAAAGCTCCTCACCCTCTCACCGGCCTCTCTTTCGCGGTCTCTGATGTGTAAGCATATTTCATACATTTTACGGTTGTGTAATTTTACATTGGAAGTCGTCAAAATTGGAAACGTGGAATTGTTTGGCGAAATTCAGTAGCTACTATCGGTAGTATAATCTTAAACTGCATAGTTATATGTGTATTGATTCTGATGGACTGTTTTTGTTTGGTTAGGCCATTTTGTAACGATACAATACCTGATATGTGTTTAAAAATCAATTAAATTTTGAATAGGTTTGCGTTTGAAAGTTAATTTGATTAACTGTGATATGATGTTTGTGATTTCTTTCTCGATAAGGAAAAATGAATTGTTACAGAGTGACGGTGTAATTAAATGTAACTGACGGTCCGATTCTCTAGATATTGAATTTATACTAAAACTATTAGGCGGTTGTTGCTTAAAAATTATCTTTTTTTGGATTAAGCATGCTCTATAATTTATGCTCAACAGTCTCAATTTTGGAGTCTTTTTTTGTCAGATTTAATATCGAAGGGCATGTAACTGGATTTGGCAATCCAGACTGGTCCATGACTCACGAGGCTGCTACTCGGACATGTCCTGTGGTTGCACTTCTTGTTGATGGAGGTGCCACATGTGTTGGAAAAACCGTTGTGGATGACATGGCATTAGGGTAAGTTACTTGCCCTTATTACAGGGGAGCAACTTGTTTTTAGCCACGACTGAGTTTCTATCTTTAAATAAATTTTCTTCTTCTTTTTTTGAACAGCGTAAGCGGAGAAAACGTGCATTATGAGGCACCAACTAATCCTGCCTCACCTGCACGAATGCCAGGAGGGGCTTCAAGTGGTGCCGCTGTAGCTGTTGCTGCTAAATTTACTGATTTTTCTCTGGGTAAGATCACATTTAGTGTTATAGAAAAGTCTCTATTGCATTCCCCTATTACTTAGTGCTAATTATAGTGATCTTTACACTGCACTAGGTTTTGTTGTTGTATTCGGGCTTCTCATTTTGTATTTTGATTTAGAGGGAGGGTTGAAGTAATTCTTTAATTATATCAACAATCTTCTTGCTATGTTATAAGAATTGATATAATGTGGATTTCTCAAAAAAAAATTCTGTAGTAGTTTTCATTTATTGTCAAATATATCCCCGTATGAAATTAATTGGGCTCGCCCCTCAAAAGTTTCAAGTGATAGTGGATCAAATATCTTTGGTACCTCTATACTTTTCAAGAGTTATGGCAAGGCATCTATGAGGTATGCTACAGAAGATTGTCTGCACCTAGATTAGTACAATATGAACGGTGAAGAAATTTATCATCAATGGTAGTGTAATAGAATAATATAAAATTGCAATTTTTTCAACAAATGATTAAAGTTAAGATCAGGTATAAATGGTTGTTTAGAAGTAGAGAGTTAATGGTGGATCTTAGGTAATTTCAAGGGCACCTAAGTATATGCACCTCTCTTATACTCATTCCTAACTTATTTAATTGATAAATTATACGTGGACGTATGTTAGTTTGATATACCACAACAAATTAGCGTTCGCAGTATCCGAAATAACACAACCAGTAGAAAGAAAAAGAACGATGAATTAAAAAAAGAAAATTGGTTGGACTCCAGAAAGTTAGTTTTGTCTTTTGTTTGTGTTAATGTTGATTAAGTATTTAGCTCGTGAGGTCCAACGCCAATGCCAATGCTGTTTCATTAATAGTTTGATGATATTTTATTCATAATCAGTTAATTAACTCTTGCTGGTCTCACGGTTATTTTCCACTTTCATGCATAAATAATTCTCGACTATCAGTAGATTGCTGTGATTCTACTGTTTCGGACTTGATACTTCTGAAGGAATTATTTTATTGACTTCGTGACTTGTACTGTTTTGTATTCTGCACAAATCTTCAATTAAGAAGACATGCTTGTTAACTTGCTAAAATATGACAGGCATAGATACTGATGGTGGTGTGCGAGTGCCAGCTGGATATTGTGGTATTCTTGGCTTTCGACCATCTTACGGGACAGTCTCCCTCTCTGGGGTTGTTCCTGTTTCGGGAAGTCTTGACACAGTAGGTATGTGTATCTACAAATTCCAGGTTATGTCATCTTGTTAGATTTTTATTAAAATCTCTCTTTGGCATAATGTCAGTTTAATTTGGAATAGTATCAAAGTTCTTGCGTTCATCATTACTATACCATGCTTCTCCACCATATAGTAACTCTAGCGGATGACATTAATCTTGTGAAAATCTTTGCTGATCATTATTAGGATGTTTTGCATAGACTGGTGTCTCCCGCCATGAAACTATTCAACCATTAGGAATGTAATAGACAAATTAATAGTTGCTCAGAGTCAGGACAATTACTCCTATTGCATCATACAAGTAGTCCCATGATCATTCCCAAGCATTAATACCATGTAACACATTTACGATGAGGATTTTTTTTGCATGCATCTTTCCACTTCCAAATACCAGCTCATTTAATGATATATCAATATGTCCTCAATGCAAGAGTAATTGGTGTTTCTTTTTCTTTTAGTGTAAATGCACTTCTTGATTTATGATATGTCTTCGGTGCCAGAACGTATTCCTTTCTCTCATTGAAGAGCATTATGTCGGCTTACTGTAGTAACATTTTAACGTGGCAAAGTTTTCTTAAAAATTTCAAACGTTATTTCTCCAATAGTGGATTTATACCTGTGAATTGCAGGATGGTTTGCAAAAGATCCCAGTGTACTTCGTCGTGTTGGTCATGTGCTGTTGCAGCTTCCGTATGCTGCCCCACGCAATCCAAGGAATATTGTGATAGCGGACGACTTTTTTCAGTTATCAAAAGTTTCTGCAGAACGTATCACTCAGGCAGTGACCAAATCCATCGAGAAGTTGTATGGAAGTATGTTCTTTTACTCTTACCATGGGTTTTAAACATTTTCCTTTGAATTCCCGTTAGTACTTTAGTTTCAGTTTTGTTATCCTGGATTGCTTATTAGGCTCTTCTTTCAGGACAAGGTTTGAGGCATGAAAAGCTCAGTGATTACATAAGTTTGAAGGTTCCAAGCTTAAACTCATTCAACGTCAAGCAACTAAATGGTGAGGGGAGAGCTTCTCCTATAAGATTGCTGGCAAATGTCATGCAGATGCTTAAGAGGTGAGGTTATAAGTAGCATTAAGTAAATAATAGGTTGATGCTACTGTGCTTCAGTTACTATTCTTACAATGACATCTTTAAAGAAAATAATTTGAATGCTAATGGTGAACATGTCTTGCCATGGTAGAAGTCTTGTTTATATTTTCATGTACACATCTGTTTCCAATTAAGGCCTTTCCAACGTCTAGTTACTGATTCAGTTATAACTATGTATACGAACGTGGTCTTTGACATCGGAACTGACTCATACATACTCTGCTCAGTGATTCTATTTGGAGAACATCTTAAATTGATGGTTGATTGCTTTGTTTCATGGTTTTCTGAGTTACTGCAGAAGTGAGCGTAACAGAGTACACTGAGAAGAGGGAAATAGTGGTTTACTTTGGAAATAGTGGTTTACTTTGGAAATAGTGGTATGCTACATCGAGCTGGTCATAATAGTGAGACGAGAAAAGGGAAAAGAGGTAAGTGGATTAGGTAACCAAAACAACAATTAGGTTCCATTATAAGGATAGTCGAAGTTTTATTTCTCCCTTCTTATCGCTTAGGTCGAGATCAGAATAAAGACCAAATTGAAAGGCCAAGAGTTACTTCTCTTAGGCAATCAGATCTCAATTGTAGTGTTTGGAATCCTCGCTCTTTGTCCTATCCAACCCCGTTTTCTCATTCATACTTTCTGCAACTAAGTTATGTTGTCTTACATTTCTTAATTTATCAGTTGCCTTTTTCGCAATAACATCTTGATAGTTACTATTCTGTACCTAATTGTAGTGAACTTCATTTATTGGTATAGTGAAATCAATGATGTGCATTGTTAATTTATATATATGCTTGATACTGCTGGACAAACGATTATTGTCATTCTTTCCGATCAAATTCTTTTTTGAGTCCTGAATGGAATAATTGACTGATGTTTTCTTGCAGGCATGAGTTCAGACAAAACCATATTGAGTGGATCAACTCTGCAAAGCCTACCCTGGATCCTGTCATCTCAGCACAAATACCTGAAGTATTAGATTTGACTGACGCAGACATCGAACAATGTAATGCAATCAGGACTGAATTGCGTTCAGCTATCAATGCGCTTTTAAAGGTATTAATTATCATGTTTCCAGTCTGACCTGTATTTTAGGACACTGGCTTTCATCTGTTTTCTTTTCTATCTGGGAACTGAAACTGAATACTGTACTCTCTCACACCTATTGCTGATTCCACCAGACACAATATCCATGCATGTTATGCTAAATTGTTTTTGCAGTAAATGTTATTACATTTTATGGTATTTTGAAAATGAATTTGCTTGTATCCGTTACAAATCACTTCTAGTCTTCATAAATCATTAAACCATTTCAAACTGGTTGTGCGTTATTGCGCTTCTTACTACTGCCTGTTGCCTGAAACAATTGTCTAAACAGGATGATGGAGTGTTAGTCGTTCCTACTTGTGATCTTCCTCCCAAATGTGGCGCCAAAGAGATTGCATCAGAGGAATTCGTGATTCAAACATCTTGTTTTACAAGTTTAGCTAGTATGTCAGGCTGCTGCCAGGTTAAAGTTCCCATCTCTTCCCCACACATACGTGCTAGTGTGAGTGTGACATTGCATATCATCTATTTGAAAACTGATTTACTGTTCTCTCTGTAGGTTGCACTACCACTCGGGGTCCATGAAAAGTGCCCAATTTCTTTGTCTCTCCTAGCTAGGCATGGGGGTGACAGATTTCTGCTCGACACTTTGCAACCAATATATGCATCTTTGCAAGAGCAGGTCGATACAGCTGAAAAGCCTAAACCATCTAGTAAAGTTGTGACACCGGAAACATCAGCAGAGATGGCCAAAGAAAAGGTTAATCCTAAATAAACACGTCCTTTGGTTCTGATAAAAAAAAATACTTTTACCAAGTTATTTATGACAATTTAAGTTTCACCATGTCAGCCTCTCTTTTATAAGTGTGCACTTATAAGTTACCAATATTAGTTTGTGGCATTCTCTAGTCAATTTCGCAGTTCTGTGTTTTTAGTAATTTCCTAGCACGCCTTCTAGAATATTTAAAAGAGCGTAATTCTTGCATTTGTTTTCTATGTTCACATTTAGACCGATAAATTGCAGTACTTGGTGGGCATACCTGCTTTACTAAATGAGCAATAGTGAGTGTAGCTTAATCTTCTGTTCTGCTGGTATTTAGTAATTAAACGGGCTGGGGGATGTTTTAGTCATATTAGGCAATGATTCAAATTTTTTTATGCATGGTCCCTTTGTTGTTTTTTTATGCATGGTCCCTTTGTTGTGCACTTTTCTGGATGAGATAGGGCGGTTCTCTTTTTAAAGAATAACCTAATGAAGCTATACATTTTGTGTACTTTTCTCTTCATGCATGTTCGATTGCAAATTGTTTTGGTATTCTACCTGCCCTGTTCCATCTTTTAGGTGGACAAAGATATTAGTGTGAAAGCTTCTATTTGCATATCTGATTCGTGTTCTTCTTAAGTGAATTTGACATCCTGTTAATGATTTAGGGCAACCAAGCATTCAAAGATAAACAGTGGCAGAGGGCAGTTGGATTTTATACAGAGGCCATCAAACTCAACGGGAGTAATGCAACATACTACAGTAACAGAGCTGCGGCTTATTTGGAGATGGGAAGGTAGCTGAACTTTTATAGCTTCTTGAGTTGTTGCATCTGCTTGTAGATATTTTGTATTATATTTCACTTATTTATTCTTGTAAATCAGTTTCCTCCAAGCTGAAACGGATTGTACTCAAGCCATTGATCTCGATAAGAAGGTTCTCTCTCTCAACCTCTATTAACCCCACCCCATTCTTGATTTACTCCTTGATGAATGTATTCGGTCACTTATTCATGCATGCTCCTCAGCATGAAACAATTTCCTCTTATGGTCATTGTGTTGTATATGCATTCAAATGTGGAAAGATTGGTAATTAGCTGTCAAAGTCAAGGAAGAGATAAATTAGGGAATAAATCAAGGAAGAAAAAAATCAGGGATTTAGAATCCCTGCAAATTACTACGTTGCTATTTTGCATATTGTAAACCTCTATTTAAGAGAGGTACGTTATCCGTAATAAACAAGTAGAAATTCATCTAATTCAAGAGATCTGGAGCTTTTTCTAACGAGTTCCAAAGTTATCAATTCCCTTTAACGAGTTGAATTGTTCTTTACAATACATGTTGCTCTAAGAACCACAACAAGGGAACCAATCCTTTATTCTAGGGTGACCTTGTTGTTAATCGTCCAGTAACTAAGTCGAGGTCTTAGGTCCTGGGAATGTAACACATTGGTCCTAACTCCTAAATTTAAAGCCAGTTTCATGATTGCCAACAAGTCTTAAAAAATCAAGTTACCCCTAATAGTGCGTTGTTTGGATATTGGTTGTTGATTTTGTTGTGTTCATGTACTGGTGGCAACTGGCAACGACACTGTTGCTCGTTAATCTAAAAAGTACAGATAAGATTTGAACAGTAAAATATAATATATTTTTGTAGTGATAAGTTGAAGGTGAGTTTGTGTGTGTCGGATGGATCTCAAAGTGATTTGTGTGAATCTGAATGCTTGCAAACCTCGAGGAGATTTCAACCATTATCCCTTTACAGTATCAACTTGACCTATTCTTGAATCTTGCTGAAGCACAATCATTCTTGTATCCTGTGTGGCTTTGACTTGTTTGTGCATTTTTTGACCTACTAAGTCAAATTTGACTTTGTTTTTTGGACTTTTATTGATCACTTGTTTGAATAATATTATCATTTAAATGGGGAAATGGTGTCTTATGGTTAACCGGTAGTGCAAGTGCATTATTCAATTATCTATTTTCTGAACATGTATGCCTAATTAAAGCAATTCCATGCTCCTTGATTGGTATAGATGTTTTTGTCATATGTTGGATAGAAGAAATGCATGAGATGTTCCTGAAGAATTTGTTGGCATGTTTGCAGAGTGTAAAGGCCTACTTGAGGAGGGGAACATCGCGGGAAATGTTGGGTTTCTATAAAGACGCAATGGAAGGTGAGTTTTCATTTCATTTGTTATTCATTTCTGAAAATGTTACATGCATCGAATCTAGGATGCTGAGGAAGGTAGTGAGTTATAGTCCGTAATTTGATATGTTATGAAGTATCATGGAAAATATTATTGATCAAGCCTGGATAATGGTAAATGTTCAATCGTTTGTTTTCTCATATGAAGAAAATTATTTATATTTTCATTACTCCTTTGGTCTATAGACAGTATGATAGTCGAAGACTTGTGCTTCCCGTTGTGAAGGATTTGTGAAGGGCTCTTATTGTCTTGAATTTGTTTATCTTTAAACTTTGTATTCTTGAACTTGCAGATTTCAGATATGCTCTAGTTCTTGAGCCAAATAATAAAAGAGCAGCCCAGACTTTGGACAGGCTGAAGAAATATTTTCTGTAGTTCCATCAGAATGAAAGAGCACCCACGAAGACCTTGTGCCTCAAAAAGATTGTTTTGTGTAGACCAAGCATCAGCTTTTGAAATGCCAATGACCAATTTGCATTGGTAATGGAAGGCATTGATTGTAGTCTTCATTTTGTCGTATAGTAGCGCTATATTTAACACCATCTATTTTTTTTAGCATAGTGCAATTTTTTCCGGTCTCTTAGAGGCCTTACTTTTGTTATATTACTCTTGGCGAAAAGTCAGTTTTGGGATATCTGTCGGAACGTTGAACATTGGAAAAACTGTTTCATGCAGTTCAGTCTGATTTTAGTATGATTTCGGCATAGTCTCTAGAAAAGATTAGGTGCGTAGTTGAAGGGCTGCATTCAAAACACTCAAATCAATTCTACCTACCCCAAAAACGAATGTAAAAAACGATGCACTATTAATGGATATTCATCATAAAGACTTCGAGCAAGAGTAGTCTTGACGCTACCTCCCATTCCCAACAATTGGCATAGTCTTGAGTTTATTATCGTGCCCCGTTATTCGATCCTTTCGTTCGATCCCCAAATCCCACCTGAAGAGTTCTTATCCAACTTTGACAAAACCATCATGGCAAGATTCCTTCAGGCCTCTTCTTCGATCTCAAAATTTCTTGAGATAGATTCTCGAGGCTGTTATATCCAATACTTTCCGAATCCGACCAGAAGTGATTCGATACATGAAGTTTCAAGGGAATCTTTAACTGCATAAGCTGCATCTCCGATTCTTCTTTCCAAGACAGTATGGACTGTTTGGTGGGGAATTTGTGGAGGATATTCTAGAAAGTCTTGTAAGAGAAAAGCAGATTTGGAGAGACAGAAGTTGTTCTTTCAAGTGAGGAATAGAATACGGAATGTGTGGACTTTGGTGTTGATACGATCCTTGATGATACTAAATATTTTTATGATCATGTTTTCAGGCAGTAATTTGATTTTTGAAAACCGTTTGACTTGCCATTTGGTGCATCAAAGAAAGTTAGAGCAACTCCAACAGTAAAATGGATCATCAAATATTAATTTGATGCTAGTTTTATTATTTGGATACTCATTTACTCCAACCACAAGCATTAGATGTATTATCAAAATTTAAATATATGTATAAGTATATTTAAAACAGACACATGTCAATTGATGATAGGTTGTTTGGGTAGTTAATTTGTTGCATGATGCGTTTTTGCGTATCTGGAAGCTAAATATCAAAATAACGACCAATTTAATTCTTCCATTGAAGATAAATTTTGAATTTTGGAGCATCAAAATAGAAGTTTTATGTTACCAGCTCAAATTGATGGAATAAAATTAGTAGCAAGAAGAAGGAAGAACATGCAACGAGGTAGACATGCAGAAATACCTAACAAGGAAGATGATAATTGCAGAGAGGAATTACTACCGTCCTATTCGAAGACGCATTTTCATTACACGTTTTTATTATTATTACGTTTTTATTCGTAAAGGGTTCCAGCATGCCACGTGGCCGAGAAGAAGAGGAAGAGAAAACAATTGAAGAAACGTTATTTACATTTGGATTGTTTCAGCACTTCTATTCCTTTGTTTAGCACTTTCTAATTATAGAGTAGTATAAATGGAGTAAGCTTGAGCAAAGAGAGGCAGCTGATTTTAGGTCAAGTCTTCTAGGTTTAGAGCTGAGTGTAGGATGGACTTGTTTCTCGAAGCTTTTCAGTGTTAAGCTTCCCGATTCAACCTTGTTTACGTTTGATTTCTTTTATCAATATATATATCTGTTTGAGTTGCTTACAATTGGTATCTAGAGCCATAGTTCTGGGAAGGATAGATATGGCAGATGGTACACGATTTGCAGAGCTAAGAAAAGATATGGATATGATGCGGGAGCAGATGCAAGCAATAGCTGAAGCCAATACTAAAAATGTGGAAGAAAACCGTGCTATGATATCTTTGATGATGGCTAAGTTCCAGCAGCAGTTTGCTTCACATAATGACACTGGGAGAGCTCCAGATCTGGGAACTCATGAGGATCTTCAAGGGGGTACAGAGTATCAACTACCCACTAAGTGCTCTTCAGTAGAATTCCCTAAGTTTGATGGCACGAATCTTCGTAGCTGGGTGTATAAGTGTGATCAGTTCTTTGATGTTGATGGTACACCTTCAAACTCTAAGGTGAAGCTAGCAGCTGTGCATTTGGAAGGAAGAGCCCTCCAGTGGCACCAGACATACATGAAGGCTCGTCTTACAAGAGAAATTCCGAGCTGGGAAGAGTACATCCGAGCCTTGAATAGCAGATCTGGCACCCTGCTATTTGAAGATCCCATGACTGAGCTGATGAATCTCAAACAAACTGGATCTCTGCAGGATTATTTGGATAGGTTTGATGAGTTGATGAATTGTGTGGATCTTTCAGAACCATATGCAGTGAGTTGTTTCCTTGGAGGATTGAAACCTGAAATTTCCTTACAAATTAGAATGTTTAAGCCTAAAAATATGATGGAAGTGGTTAGCCTAGCCAAGTTGCAGGAGCAGACCCTCACCCTATCTCCCAGAATACACCCCATTCAACAGCAAAACCCTACTCAAAACCCTATCAGAGCTTCATACACCTCTAACCGACCTAACACCTTAGCCATTACTAGGAATCCCAACCATAATTCTAACACATATACGAGCAACAACCACACTAGCCCCCATTCCAACAGAAACAACCCAACCAACCACAGAAACCACAACCAACCCTTCACCCATACAAAGAGACTAAGCAATCAGGAAGTGGATGATAGAAGAGGCAAGGGCCTCTGCTTTTGGTGTGATGAAAAGTATTCAAGAGATCACAACTGCCCTAAGAAGAGACAGATGTATGTGATGGATATTTCTGAGGATGAGGCCATGATAGAGAGTGAGCTGGAATATAACCCTAGTGTAGATTTCACAGGTCTCTATACATGCTATGACTGGGACTCATGATTTTAGGAACATGAGATTGACTGGATCATCCAAAGGAAAGACTATACATATCTTGATTGACAATGGGAGCACCATAATTTTTTGGATGAACAAACTGCAAGATCCTTGGGGTGTGAATTAGTGGATATGAAACCATCATATGTGAATGTACCTGGAGGAAACAGACTTGTTACTAAATTCAAGTGCCCAAACTTCACTTGGAAGATGCATGGGGTGGAATTTTCAGCAGAAGTCATGACATTGCCCTTAGGAAGCTGTGACTTAGTGCTTGGGATTCAATCAATGGTTGGTCACTTTGGGGGATATATGCAGTAATTACCAACAGTTGAAAATGGAATTCAACCACTTAGGCAGAAAGGTGGTATTGAGGGGCCTCCAACCTAACTCAGTCAAGCTAGTTTCTAATAAGAAGTTGAATAAAATTCTACAGAAACCATCTCAGATTGCCTATCAGTGCATTGGAAGTTTACAAGATGGAACTTCCTCAAGTGCACCCACAACTCAGAACTGCACTGATCAAGGAGAAAGTCCACTAGAGTGCATTGCTAGTTTGAATTCTATGGAATGCATGGGAGAAGAAGGAATGTCAGAACTACTAAATGAGTATGCAGATTTATTTGCGGAGCCTAAGAGTCTGCCACCTCACAGAGAACATGACCACAAAATACATCTTAAGGAAGGGTCAGAGGCTATCAATGTGAGACCCTATAGATACCCAACCATACAAAAGAATGAGATTGAGGCCATTGTTAAAGAGCTACTGGACTCAGGAGTGATTAGAACTAGTAACAGCCCCTTCTCCTCACCAGTGGTGTTGGTGAAAAAAAAAGACAATTCTTGGAGGATGTGTGTGGATTATAGAGAGCTCAACAAGAACACTGTCAAGGATAAATTTCCTATTCCAGTCATTGAAGAGTTACTAGATGAGCTACATGGAGCCAAGGTCTTTTCTAAGATGGATTTAAGATTTGGCTACCACCAGGTTTGAATGCAGACTGAGGACATCATGAAGACAACTTTTAGAACTCACCATGGACACTATGAGTTCCTAGTTATGACATTTGGTTTGACTAATGCACCCTCTACCTTTCAGAGCCTCATGAATAAATTTTTTCATAAGCAACTAAGGAAGTTTGTCTTGGTTTTCTTTGATGATATTTTGATTTACAGTGGAAGTTGGCACTCACATCTAGCACAATTGAATGCAGTATTGGAAATTTTGAGTGAACATCAGTTGTTTATCAAAAGAAATAAATGTTCGTTTGGGAGTTCCTCCATTGAGTACTTAGGACATGTGATCACACCAGAAGGAGTGGCAGCTGACCCTAGTAAGACTCAAGCCATGAAGGACTGGCCAATTCCTAGAACTATCAAGGAGTTGAGAGGATTCTTGGGCTTAACTGGCTATTACAGGAGATTTGTCAAGGACTATGGTAAGATAGCTTACCCCTTGACTCAGTTGCTGAGGAAGGATAGTTTCAAGTGGAGTGGAGAAGCTCAACAAGCATTTAACTCCCTCAAGGAGGCCATGACCCACACCCCAATATTGGCACTCCCTGACTTCTCTAAGGAGTTCACCATTGAGACTGATGCATCTGGCACTGGTATGGGAGCTGTGCTGATGCAGCAAGGCAGACCAATAGCTTTCATGAGCAAGGCTCTAAACATGACTCAAAGTGCTATGTCCACTTATGAGAAGGAACTCCTTGCCTTAGTAACAGCTGTTCAAAAGTGGAGACCATATCTGATTGGCAACCACTTCACTGTGAGGACTGACCACCAGAGTTTGAAGTACTTGATGGACCAAAGGGTGGCAACTCCAGCTTAACAGAAATGGTTGGTTAAATTATTAGGGTATGACTTCTCAGTAGCATACAAAAAGGGAAAGGAAAATGTGGCAGCAGATGGGCTGTCTAGGATTATTATCCTAGAGGCAAGTTGTTTTACTATTTCTATGCCTCAATGCTCTTTTTTGGAAGAGATTAAACAAACATATGTCACTGATTCTAAGTTACAAAAGATCATTAAAGATTTAAAGGAAGGTAAAAGCAACAAACCTTCTTATTCATGGGCTGCTGAGGTGTTATTAAGGAAGGGAAAGATAGTGGTAGGAAAAGAGAAAGAACTGAGAGACAAAATTCTCTGTCACTATCATAGTGCTGCAGTGGGGGGACATTCTGGAATCCACAGTACACTTCATAGGGTTAAGCTAATTTTCTATTGGAAGGGATTGAAGAGTGATGTGCACACTTGGGTGCAACAGTGTGATGTGTGTCAAAGGTGCAATGGAGAAATTTTGGCAGCCCCAGGGTTATTGCAACCACTCCCTATTCCTAAGAGAATATGGGAGGACATATC